TGCTGACATTAATCATCAGTGTATATAGAATGTCTGTATAGTTTATTTTTCAACGTATTATATACGCTGTACAATTTGATAACGTTCGTTAAAAAGAGTATAAGTCAAATTGTATAACTTTTTTAGAAAACTGAAAAAATGACTACAGGTTTGTACAGGGTCTAAACATAATCTATACTATAGACAATGTTAAAACGCAAATTTTAATAAAATACATGATTTAAAAGAAGATATAGACGAATTTCATGCAATTTCCTTCACAATTTACGTATAGTGTAAAATATCACTATATAATACTTACACGCTTTATCACAAAACCGTTATATTATTTGAGACTTTTATTAATACATTTTCCCAACATTTGTTATTATGTCATATGTTATTGTTAAACCAGATAAAAAGACGACACACTTTTTTGTCTTAATCTTTCGAAATTTACCATCATGGGTTGTACCTAATTGGTAAAGTAACTTATAGACGAGTAAACCAAGTTTTTAAACTAGATTTTTATCATTCAATTTGTTGATATTTTAAACAACTGCGATTGAAGTCAGTTATTGGATATGCATTTACTATCCAATATCTACACACTATAAATCTCTACTTAAATAAAATTTGAATCTAAATTACACAAATTATTATAATAATAAGTATTAAAAAAGTAAGCTTAATCATCAGTGAAAATTTTCTGTTGAAATAAACACAAATAGGTAGTAGTAATTTTTTTTTTCAAACTATTGTAGTCTCGCAAATGTATTTACTATACATAAAATAGGAAAAAAAAAAGTTTAATGTAATGTATAAAATCTATAAAGTTCGACAACCTGTCACTAAAAACAAAATGTGTACCTACAAATACCTATATAAAATATAAAAAAGTAAAAGAAAGCAATGTGTTGATTTTTACTGCACAGAAATAAGATTAGCAGAAGGTGTTAACAAGTTAAGTTTTTGTAAAATGTTTTAACTTCTATAAGTATTAAGGAAACATTTTTAATTTCGATAAATACGTATTAAATTGTATTGTGGTACAACTCCCGTTGTATAAACTCCAATTTTTAACATTTAATTGCAAATTAATCAATTAATAGACGCTATCCCACATCTGCTATGCAAACGTAGGATACAGTAAAATTGCGTTCATCAAGGACAACTTAATGCTGTTAGTTTTAATATTTGAGTGAATTTTAAAATCAATAAAATAAAACTGAAATAACACAGACAGTTTAATGTTATAGATATCTATATTTTGATAAAATTAAATAATAAATTTATTCGAAAATAAATATAATATTAATTGATATGTTAGATTTACAATTGTTTTTTATTTTTAATTTTATTAAAATTGGTTGCACGTGACCCTGTTAAATACTAAACAACATTCTTTTAATATTATTACCAAATGTAAATTATAGCAAACATTTTTCCTGTGGACATCTAATATTACTTTGACTGGTAGATTAATTTTCATTGTACACACTTGTCTTGTTAACAGTTAATTGGAATAAAAATAAAAAAAATGCATATTATGTTCTTATAAATGTTAGCATAAGTATATAAAATTCCGTCACTTTATACAATAACTAATTATTTTATAGAACTACGAGCGATTTCAGATAATGTATTGATCGAATACAAAGATACGTATTTCAACTAGTCATTCTATATACTAAGTGAATAAATTTGTATAAACTACCAAAAACGATTTAATAAGTAAAATAATTATTAGAACTTCTTATATGTCTATCACATTATACCGTTGTACTAACCAATAATCTTATGGAGACATTTTTTTCTTGTTTTGATACGTTTTACTTTCATTCATAAAAAAAGTCATATTTTTCATATAGCAAAAACCTACAGTTATTACGTCTTATTATTATTGTTTTTTTTTTTTTTTTTTTTTTTTT